TCCCACTGACGCCAACGATGGGGCACTAATCCTCCCACTGACGCCAACGATGGGGCACTAATCCTCCCACTGACGCCAACGATGGGGCACTAATCCTCCCACTGACGCCAACGATGGGGCACTAATCCTCCCACTGACGCCAACGATGGGGCACTAATCCTCCCACTGACGCCAACGATGGGGCACTAATCCTCCCACTGACGCCAACGATGGGGCACTAATCCTCCCACTGACGCCAACGATGGGGCACTAATCCTCCCACACTGACGCCAACGATGGGGCACTAATCCTCCCCACTGACGCCAACGATGGGGCACTAATCCTCCCACTGACGCCAACGATGGGGCACTAATCCTCCCCCACTGACAGCCAACGATGGGGCACTAATCCTCCCACTGACGCCAACGATGGGGCACTAATCCTCCCACTGACGCCAACGATGGGGCACTAATCCTCCCACTGACGCCAACGATGGGGCACTAATCCCCCCACTGACGCCAACGATGGGGCACTAATCCTCCCACTGACGCCAACGATGGGGCACTAATCCTCCCACTGACGCCAACGATGGGGCACTAATCCTCCCACTGACGCCCCACCACTCCTCCCGCCAACGATGGGGCACTAATCCCTCCCACTGACGCCAACGATGGGGCACTAATCCTCCCACTGACGCCAACGATGGGGCACTAATCCTCCCACTGACGCCAACGATGGGGCACTAATCCTCCCCCCACTGACGCCAACGATGGGGCACTAATCCTCCCACTGACGCCAACGATGGGGCACTAATCCTCCCACTGACGCCAACGATGGGGCACTAATCCTCCTCCCACTGACGCCAACGATGGGGCACTAATCCTCCCACTGACGCCAACGATGGGGCACTAATCCTCCCACTGACGCCAACGATGGGGCACTAATCCTCCCACTGACGCCAACGATGGGGCACTAATCCTCCCACTGACGCCAACGATGGGGCACTAATCCTCCCACTGACGCCAACGATGGGGCACTAATCCTCCCACTGACGCCAACGATGGGGCACTAATCCTCCCACTGACGCCAACGATGGGGCACTAATCCTCCCACTGACGCCAACGATGGGGCACTAATCCTCCCACTGACGCCAACGATGGGGCACTAATCCTCCTCCCACTGACGCCAACGATGGGGCACTAATCCTCCCACTGACGCCAACGATGGGGCACTAATCCTCCCACTGACGCCAACGATGGGGCACTAATCCTCCCACTGACGCCAACGATGGGGCACTAATCCTCCCACTGACGCCAACGATGGGGCACTAATCCTCCCACTGACGCCAACGATGGGGCACTAATCCTGACCCACTGACGCCAACGATGGGGCACTAATCCTCCCACTGACGCCAACGATGGGGCACTAATCCTCCCACTGACGCCAACGATGGGGCACTAATCCTCCCACTGACGCCAACGATGGGGCACTAATCCTCCCACTGCGCCAACGATGGGGCACTAATCCTCCCACTGGCGCCTACGATGGGGCACTAATCCCACCACTGGCGCCTACGATGGGGGCACTATTCCCACCACTGGCGCCTACGATGGGGGCACTATTCCCACCACTGGGGCACCTACGATGGGGCACTACTATTCCCACCACTGGCACCAACGATGGGGGCACTATTCCCCCCACTGACACCAACGATGGGGCACTATTCCTCCCACTGATACCAACGATGGGGCACTATTCCTCCCTACTGCAAAATTACAGTTATGAAGTAGCAACGAAAATAATTTTATGGTTGGGGGTCACCACAACATGAGGAACTGTATTAAGGGGTCGCGGCATTAGAAAGGTTGAGAACCACTGATTTAGAGGAAGGCAACCCCCCCAGTAAAGCATGATCCAATGTGCTTCAGTAGGGGAAAAAAAAAAAATAATTCCTGATCCCCCAAGATACAACTTTCTAACTCAAAATGTGTACTTGCTGAAAAACACCAATTTCCTTTCAACCTATTGCCACTGACATCACACAAATCTGCAATGTCGCAGAAGTGGGCTATCGTCAGAGGTGCTGCATATATGTGCACTGGAAACCTGTTCTAAAGACCACTTCCAGCATGGAGACTGAGTTGTCACAGACTGCTCCTGCTCTCATACTAACACTCTGTTGGGAAGATTGGTTCTCAATCTTGTGATCACTACTATGATAGCCGTAATAGCATGTGATTGGCTATCATAGTGATCAACCAGTAGACTCAGCCTCTGTACTTTTTCTCTTCTGATTGTAGAAAAAATACTGTGGAGTTAATTCACTAAAAACTGGACAATGCAAAATCTTTATGTAGTTTAGGTCAGAAACAAGATATACCTGTGCTCAAATCCCAATAACCTGTACATGCATTTATCTATCAGGTGCTAAAGGGGTGTAACCACATGTTAACACTAAAAATCCCAGAGGAGCCCTCTGCACACTACTAATTACCCTTTCCAGCAAACATTGAAATAAAAATACATAGGGACTTTTAGTTCACACATTGCAATACATGTTTAAGCTGGCCAACTGCATCAAAGTAATCCCCCTCTGGTCAGTCCTACTCTGCTCTGCCAATGAAAATGCTACTGTGGACACTATGCCAACCTGGGGCAAACATACACAAAGGGGGGGAGCTACTAGGTTTAGGTCTAGCTACTGACCTGCTATGAAACAGAAACAAGACATACCTGTGCTCAAATCCCAATAGCTTGTACATGCATTTATCTATCAGGTGATAAAAGGGTGTAATCGCATGTTAACACTAAACATTCTGGAGGAACCCTCTGCACACTGCTAATTAACTTTTCCAGCAAACATTGAATTAAAAATAGAGATATATTGCATAGGGATTTTATTGCAACTTTGCTGGAAAGAGTAATTCTTTCCAACAAACATTCCAATAAAATCCCTATGCAATATATCTCTATTTTTAATTGCAACATTTGCTGGAAAGGTTAATTAGCAGTGTGCAGAGGGCCCTCCAGGATTTTGTGGTCAAAAGACAGTGTCAGTATGTTTTCAGTAGAAAAAAACAAATGTATATTTTCTTTCTTGTTTCCCGGCCCTACTATGGGTACAAGCCACAAATAATGCACATATGCTGTATGTGGTATCACTGCAAATGTCAGGAGTATAATTTTATCACAGGGTTTTCTGGTGGTGGGTCATTTAATGGTTTTAAGAATTATTTTTAAATTAAAACCGTATTAAACATAAAAGCAAACATTTTTATTATTTTGCAGCTTACCAATTGTTAGATGTGATGGCTGCATTAGTTTTCTTTTATAGGTTTTCATCTAGTGATCATGCCAATAAGTCTGTTGCAGTACAGGGATGAGACACTCATTTACCACTGACAGGTGTGCTCACATCAATTAGCATTTATTTATTCATGTAAAATCTTTATCCCAAAAGGAAAAAAAACTGTGACTGATTCTAAAGTATTATCTGGAGTTTGGCTTCAATTTTGTTAGTGTATTTAAATGTGCTAGTATATCTAACACTCTCCTCCCCCGAGACAGGCAATGCTACTATACAAAGGTTTCTTTGTTGCTTCTTCATCCAGAGTGGGGACACCCTAATACAGGAGGTGCATTACTGGCCAGATCAGCAGGTGAAAGCCAGGGGGGAAAAGACTAAAAAGAAAACTGATGCAGTCACCACATATAATGGCCGGCAAGCTGCAATATATTACATTTTTGTTTCTGGGTTTAATGCACAAAAGCAAAAATGTCAGTGTGTTTTAGGTAGGATAATAAAATGTGCCTTTTTGGTTATGGGCCTTACTATGGGTACAAAAAAAAAAACAACAAACATACACGTGATGTTGTATCACTGCAATCATGGAGCGTAAGAGAATTAGTTTTGCGTTGTTCTTCAGGAGACTATGGTAATGGCAATGAGTATACAGTTACATTTTGAAAACATTATATTTTTAACCCTACTTAAATCTTTGACCTTTGATCTTAAAGTGATTGTAAACGTCAGACATGGAAATATGAACAAAGCATATCCCTCTATACTGTGTACTTGTCTCAATCCAGAGCACTAGGTGTTACATCTGTCTGCTGCCTCTTTGCTCTGATATATGCATGAATCATTTCTGACAAGTTTTCCTGACACCAAGAAAAATGTTGAGAGGGAAGGGCACAACCTGTGATTGACAGCCACATCTCTGTTCCTGTGTGCTGTATCTCTTCACTCCGATCAGCTCCCAGAGGTCTCCTTACTGATGTAACATCTGTTCCCCGCCCCCTGCTTTTCTGAGATTACAGATCCCGTGCAAGTTTTGCACTTTGAATAGATGTAGGAGAAAGATAACTGCAGAAAAACAAGTCCAATTTATGTATGGGGATTTGTTTAATCTCTTGTGTATCACCTGAGGCCAGTTACTTCTCTGAGTATATGTAAACGTTTACAACCACTTTAACTTTGACCTAGGTCAAACCCTATCTAGCTACCGTATTTTAACTTTATTTTATTTTTTACCCTTTTTTTTTTTTTTTTTTTTTTTGTTTTGTTTCGGTTAACAACCTTCTCTAGTAAGGAGAAAACCATACATTGTATCCTTTAAGAGGAGAAAGAAAACGGGTGGGCTGTGGCTGGCTGTGACAGTGACTGATCACTCTGATAGAAAATCACAGTAATTATGTGATCATGAGCCAGTCCTTAATATAAGACCCAGAGCTATCGGTGACAGCTTGTCCCTGGCCTGGAAGTGCTTTGTGCAACATGCTGTCAGCACAAACGTAGGTACACACATATGAAGACCCATAGAAGGAGATCCACTTCAGCGTGACTGCATCTGTGCATGCACTCTGCGGGAAGAAGTTAACATGTAGTTATCTTTATGTTTTAGTTATCAAGGAGTTTCTTTAAATTGCAATTGTTAAATGTCATTTGTTGATTTTTTTTTTTTTTTTTTTTTTCCCCTTTCAGGCCCCTTCTTGTCTTCAGTCCACATCCCATCCAAGTCATGGCGGGTGATATAACTGAAACAGGGGAGCTCTACTCTCCATTAGTAAGTAATGTCATTTACACCAATTATATAATGGTCAATTACTGAAAGATTTCCGTACTTTGCAGCTTGAATATGATTTGCGTAACAATTCTTTTTTCAGTACCTACAGCTTAGACATGCCATTACTACACAGTCTAAAGCCTCTCTATGGACATTTACTGAACCGGTGATACTTAATCAAACTATAGCTTCAACCACAAAAGGGTCAGATATCTTCGATTTACCAATCCATTATGCTCAAAGTTTCTAAGACCATGTCCCTTAATTGTAGAACATAATGGTCGACTGATTTAGATACTATTTCCGACGAGGAGTGGTCCACCATATTAGAAAATGTAATTAAAGTCTCCTTGTCCCCAGCTCAGAAGCTTACCCAGCTCTTTATTATCCACCGCACTCCTCAGCGGCTATACGCTTGGAATAGGAGGGACTTTGCCCTAGATGTGAAATTCATAACGGCACGCTTATCCATATGCTATGGAAATGTCCCAAATTGGTAAGATGTTGGTCCCATATTATAACAATGATCAATAAGATCTGGAATCTTAATGTACCATTAGATCCCAAGCTTTGTCTATTGGGAATGTTTGATGAGGAACTGTTTACTCCACATGTCTATATAGCTATCCCTAGAGTGTTGTTTATTGCTCGGAAACTTATAGCTCAGAAATGGTTATCGCCCTCACTTCCTTCCCATATTCAGTGGATTAAAGCGGTCAATGATACTCTGATTAGAGAGAGACTAGTTTATCAGCATAGAGGATGTGCACAGAAATTTACAAAAGTCTGGGATGCCTGGTTGGGGACACCGGGATTAGAACCAGCACAATTAGTTAAGGACAGGCTTTTAAGCGGTGGAATCCCATTGGGTCTACTGTGAGATAACTATCCTTCCATCAAGCCTTGAATAGGAATTGGGATATAGATGTATCCATACAGTAAAACTCTACTATTGGCAAAAAGCTAGAGTAGACTCTTTATTTACTATATTGCACATGGATGAGCTGAGAAGGTTTGACTCTCGGAGTTCAGTTCAAAGAAGGCTGATTTTTGGTTTTTTTGTTGTTGTCAAATTGTTATTTTGATTTTAATGTCATTTACAGTCCATTTTTGGTGTTACTGTTGAAAATCTGTCTGTTTTTATAAGACTGAACTTGATGAAACTGCTAAACTTCCAGTTTGTTTTTCCAGCTCATAGATGCTGAAGTGAACCCTTCAGCTGTCTCTGACATATGTCATATGTTAGCAGAAATAGGGGGTATTTACACACACGCACTCTCCGCTGTGTATTTGTCAAGCAGACTTTCAGCTTTCTGGTGGAATTTATTAGGGTGATGTGCATTCTGTCAAGTGAGTTCAGTGCCTTTGATCCCTGGCTTCTGAGGCCACGGATGATAATGATCAAGCTTGATCTATGCTTGTTCAGCTTTGTTGGGGTCCATAGGTAATATGACGGGTCCTGATGCTTTGAAAGCTCTTAGGCTACATCAGGGTGGATTTGATTTAAATCAAACTGATTTAAATCACGATTTTAATCACTAGTCAGTAAGGCTTGATTTAAATCCTAGTTTTCTACATAAAGACTAATTCTTGCTGGTATAACTTTAATATGCAAGTAGATAAAGATTTTTGGAATAACTTTTCATATTAGTTTTTTTATCCCCAGTTTAATAGGTTAATCATTCATATTTGGACAACTTTTCTGCTGTACTTAGGAAGGAGAAAAATAATCATTACCTTAATAATAACAATTTAAATAGATTTATTCAACTGAAACAATAACATTCCAGCATATGTTATTTGCTTAAACAAACATCCATGTTTGTTAACTAATTTGGCTAAACAAAATATATTTATTTTAAGAAACTTAGACTGTCAGCCCCTTCCTCCTCACACTTAGTTTCACTTTCTTCTTGTGCAGATCTATTCCACTCCAAACAATCAGAAAAATATGGTTTCTATTCTATTCACTGAACTTCTTGAAACTTAGCACTGAAGGGGTTGATTCTGTATTCATAGGTTTGTAGAAGTTAGGATTAAGGTATTTTTCTTTACTCTGTTCATGTTATAACATTTTTTCTGTGAAGAAGAGGCATGTGATCTCCGCTGAGTCAAATCCGTTTTGAGAACTGCAAAAGTAAACCAACATCTGTGATAATATCTTGTAGGGAGAGAAACTGCCCAATAATCTTACAAAAACCTCTGGAAGAGCATGACATTGTGAATGGATTAATGGAATTTATTTACCAAAAAAATTAAACATATACAGCCTTATTCTACATAATTAAAAAAACTAATCTTTATTTCATGATGGAATAACCTTTGGATGGTAATATATTTTCCTCCAAAAAGCATTTTATTTAAAAAAATCAGATTTTAAATAAAAAAAAATCAGATTTTTTTGATAAAAAAAATCATTGATTTTTATCCACCCTGGGCTACATACATAAGGAAAAAATGTAGCGCTGGTGAAAATGACATGTGACAGTTAAAATATCTCTCAATGCTCTAGCGTTGAGAGATATTTTAACTGTCACATGTCATTTTCACTAGCGCTGCACTATTTTCTTATCTATTCCTGAGGATATAGCGGGTTGTCCTTTTGTGCTAGCAGCTGCTCCCTGTGCTCTCACTGCCATTCTTTATCATCCATTCTTAAGCTACATACACATGGGCGATTTAGGCTGGTGCGAATTGCTGTGGCAGGAATCTTCCTATTCCTGATGCTGGGAGCAGATAGGTGCGGCCATTGGCCCTTTTGACTATAATGAAAGGTTGAGGCGGTCACAGCTGTTTGGGGCTGTTTGCACAGTCAGCAATTACCTGTGCTGATTGCTGCTGGATGCACACAAAGTATTTTCTAAGGTCATCAGCTACAGTTAGTTGCCATAATGTGGTATTCCCTGATTCACTCAACGTGGAAAGAACACCTTCTAAAAACATTCAATGTTGCCCCTTTTGCAGAGAATATATTTACATGCAGTTTCACAGGATGAAAAGTTAATTGACTTTTTTTTTTTATAAATACACTCATTGGAGTGTCTGTCCAGGCCTGTCTGTGTCTGAACAGACTGACACCTGATTTGAACTGTGGTGAGAGTCTGGGAACACCAAAATGCACCGTGCTGAGTGTATGGAGTGCCTTTTAATACCCTCACCGTTTGATGCTGACCCTTCTGTGGACGGAGCAGCAGGATTAGGGGGGCAGTGGAACAAGAGGGGGTTAGCAGGATTGGAGGAACACTGTGAAACAGGATGGGGGCAGCAAGACTAGAGGGGTGCAGTGGGACAGAAGGGGAAAGTGTCACAGGTGGGGTGCAGCGTCATAGGTGGGGGGGGGCAGCGAGGCAGGTGAGGGGCAGTGTCCTCCGGGGGGTGGCTTTCATGGGGCAGTGCAGGACTCTTTGCTCCGCCTGATTGAACTTGGGGGAAGGATGGGGGAGACTCAGGGGGTCCCAGATCGCTGGACTCCACTTTGTGGGGAGAGGAGCCGGCCAAGGAAGTGGGGTAGGGAAAAGCAGGGCATGGCGACCTGGTGCCTGGGAATTGTCGAGCCACTAGACTTTTTTTTTTTTTTTTTTTTTTTTTTTTTTTTTTTTTTTTTTTTTTTTAAAAGTCAAATGTGCTACTGTCTACAATCGATTTTAAATATTAAATAAAAAGCATTTTGTTACATTGCAGGTAAATGATTTGCAATTGTAGTTACTAAAAATAGTTTTCACATAGAAATACTGGTTTGGAAGCTTTTCAGATCTTAACAAATCGTTGTACCAAAATTGTATACCTAGCATACTAGAGCTCTCCTTGCCTTAGGCCTGTTTTTATATAGGCTTCAGCTTATACTGTATAAGAGCAGTGTGAGCAGAAAGTTTTGACAAAGCATTTTTAGCAAGCTTTGTTTGTGAGTGTACATGCAGCCTGATAGGCTGCTGTACACTCAGTCTGCAGCATCGGTTCTTTCTGCTCTCACAGTCCAAGTGACACTAGGGTCACCGAGCCCCCCAGGTGCATGCTCTGTGAGCCACGGAGGAGCTGCCAATGCAGTACATAGGAAATTAGATATTTCTAATCTATCACATTTTTGGAGGTCCTGGAGAACCAGTACAGTGGAACACAATTGGGGACACTGGCTCTGACACTAGTACTGGTATGGCAATGAACAGGACACTGGTATAGGGTATAGCGATGATCAGGATGCTGGTATGGCATATGATGGTGATCAGGACGCTGGTATGGCGGTCATCATTAATCTGGTACGGGGTTTGGCGGTGATCAGGACGCTGGTACGGGGTGTGGTGGTACGGGGTGTGGTGGTAATTAGGACGCTGGTACGGTGTATGGCGGTGATCAGGATGCTGGTTTGAGATGTTGTGATAATCAGGGCTCTGATCTAGTGAATGGCGGTGATCATGGTGCTGGTATGGCGTATTGTGGTCATCAGGATGCTGTTATGAGGTATGGCGGTCATCAGGGTGCTGGCATGGTGAATGGAGGCGATCCTAATGTTGGTGTGGTGTATGGCTGTGATCTGGTATAAGTTTATTGTAATGATTAGGACATTGCTATGGCAGTGATCAAGATGTCGATATAGTGTATGGCGTGAGCACTGGTGACACTGGGACAGGTGACGGGCTGGCTGCACACGTTAATGTATTTACACTGGGGCAGTGATCAGGGACATTGTGTGGCAGGCTTGCACTGCAGTCTGTGAGTGGACATGCACCTGACAGGCTGCTGTACACTCACAGGCTGCAGCAATGGTTCTCTCTGCTCTCACAGCTGATCTTTGTGAGAGATAGGAGAACCAATGTTCACAACCAGTACTATGTGATTGCTGTAATTGGACATGGCAATCACATGGTACAAGACCATGTGATCACCAGGACACAGGTGACACACGGATTGTCGGGTTCCCGGGTGTGTGCTCTGTGAGCCGTGCAGAAGCCACCGAAGCTGGCTGACGTACAGGTACGTTAATCCACATTGGTGCTGCTTCTTCT